ATATTTTTCCTCATAAAATGTTATTTAATGAATTTTATGAGAAAAAGTGAAACTTGCCTGATATATATTACATAAAAAGGGGGGATATCTCAAAATATTCAAAATTCCCCCTATACCCCTTTATTTGAGAATTATAAAAGGTTAACACAAGCAAAGATCGAGTAAATAGCAAGAAGTAGTTAAAAACGGTTACACTTGATAAGAAGTTCAACTATTTCTATCTAATTCAACTTTATTTGCAATTTATTAATTTTTACCTCTGATTTTAATCCTCCGGATTTGTAAATAGTTTTTTTCCAATTCCCTGGTGTGTTTAAATGAAGGGTTATAATGTAATGCACTGCATGCATAATGAGTACACTTAAAGGCTTAATTATCCAAACGTGTCTTCGGTGCTTCCGTTCTCCTTTCAAGACACTGCCATAGAACTGAAAAATATAGAGAAGAATTGGCTCAAGGGGTACTACTCTCTTTTCAAGATACTGACAAAGAACTGAAAAATATAGAGAAGCTTTGGCTGAGGTGTTTCCACTCTCTTTTCAAGACACTGCCACAGAATTGAAAAATATAGAGAAGCATTGATTTAGGTGCTCCCACTTTCAAACGCTGCCATAGAACAAATAAAAGATAGAGGCATTATTTTCTTAGTTGTGTAATTATCCTTTAAAGAACTGAAAATTATAGAGCAGCATCGACATGAGTGTTTCAATTCACCTCGCAAGATACTGCCATAGAAATAAAAATATAGAGAAGCAATATTGACTTCATTTCTTTTCCTCTCTTATTTCCAAGATACTGTGATAGAACTGAAAAATATAGAGAAGCATTGACTGAGGTGCTACCAGCCTCCTCTCAAGAAGACGCTGCAATATTTAACCGAGAGAAAATACAGAGACATTTATTTTTGGAAAAATACAAATCAAAAGAATCAAAGTCTTACTTCAAATTAGTATTTTTGAACTTTGAAAAGTAAAGATATATTGAATGGGTCAAAAACGTGAATGATATATTATTTTTAAATAACACACTGTTCATATTGTACTGTACACTGTACATATTGATATATAAATGGTGTACACTGTACATACTGATATATACATACTGACAATACATATTGATATATAAATGGTGTACAGTGTACATAATGATATATACATAATCGATCTTGGTAAATTGGCGTGCACATAGAAATGAAATATGTATCGTAAAAAATGTTAGTCTATGGTAATAATGGTTTTAGGTACTTTCCCAAAAGCATTTTTCAAAGGGCGACTTCCCAAGTGACAATTTATCCCGCAGCAACTTTCCAAATGTTAGATTAGGCTCTCTGAAGGACCATATGCTGCAATGGGGGCCGAGGACTGCGGCTAGAACAGGCGGGGGGCCGAGCGTGGCGGCTTGAATAGGCGGGGGCCGAGCGTGGCGGCTAGAACAGACTTGGGAAGTTGCCGCTTGGTAAATTGAACTTATGGGAAGTTCCAACTTGGAAAATTACCCTTGGGAAGTTGCCATTTGGAAAAAATCCTTTTGAAAAGTATCTAACATCGTAACAATGGTAAAAATTGTTGCTAATTTTAAAAAATCGATATTATAGTTTTCCACCAGCCTTTTTATGCCAAATCTAAAAATTCTTATGTATTATCTAAAATAAAAGTTAAATGAAAAAATCTCTATTAGAGTAATTGTTAGTAAATTTTCCATTATACAGATAGAGTCTCATGTCTCCAAGTTATATCAACCTTAAAATATATCCCCATTTTTCTATCTAAAATTTAAGTGCCGGGAAACTAGAATGTTTACACTTTCTCCCAGGTTGATAAAGGGAACCTTTACAATTTGGAAGTGCGACTAAAGAAACGGAGGATTACTTGAAATCCCTTTAAAACAACAAAATAGATTGTAAAATTGATAACAACTTTGATTTTCTAACCCCTATATCTTTGAAACACATGTGTCCTAGACCTAAGATATTTCAAACTATGCCGGCTTTAGGATAAAATAAGCTAAATTTGAGATATCAAAGGTGTACACCATCAGGTTGCAAAGATATAGAAATAAGAAGATTTGAGTTTGTGGCAAAGACTCAATTCTTTTGTTTAAAAAGCAAGTTCTATTTTTGAAGAAATTATTGTAGATGAATGCATGACAAGCTTAAATTAAGGCATAAAGCAACCAATTAACAATGGGTTTAGTAGATTTTAATGGGACCCGGTTCAAAACAATCAAAATTAAAGAAATATCTTTATTTTGTTTCTACAAGTAAAATTTGATTTAACATAAAAAATTAATACAGAATTTGTTGTATGTACGTTGGGTGTCCCAAGTAAAAAGAAATTCCTCTTTTAATCACTTTCTTATTATATAAATATTTATGAGGTAATTATACAATTTTTACTTACGCTTTAAGCGTGCATAACCCCCAAACCCCCCAAAATATTCAAAATTTGAATTCTAAGCAAATATTTTTTGTATTTTCATAAACAAATTTCTCAATGAAAATGAATCTAAAATCAATAAATCGGAAAACTAAGTAAATTTTTTTCTAGATATGTGTTTTACATTATAAACGTTGCCAAAGTTTATTTTTATGCCATTTTTATTGTTAATATTTACATATAATAACCACTATTCAATACTCTTAAAATTCAAAAGCAATAAATACATCTATACCTAAAAAAAAAGATGGAAAATGGAAATTGACAAATATATTTTAAACGTACATATAGGATAAAAAAGGTAGGTAATAAGAATAAAACCATGAAGAGAGATAGATAAATAAATTGATAGATAGGTAGATAGATGAATAGTTATAGGTTGATGCCTCTAGTCCTTGATAGGTAGATAGATGGATAATAGGTAGATGCCTCTAGTCCTTGATAACAGTCTAAAAATGTTTAAATTAGACGAATTCCTTAAAAGTTGAAAAGCAGGGGAAACAGTTACATATATCATAGAAACTAAAATGTCAAAAAAGAACTCTGAAAAAACATCATTTTTATTTTAACATTTAAAAAAAAAATTCTTAAATTTAAGTTTTTCGCTCCTATTCTTAGATGTGTCAAAAGATAGGTAAAATCTTATCAAATATTTTACTAATCCAATCCTTTACTTCTGTATAGTTTATATATCTATCCATCTAGCTATTTAGAAAACTATCTATCCATCTATCTCTATCAATCCATCTATCTGTCTATCTTTTTATCTCTGTCACCCTAAACCCGATATTTTAACATATTTCTATTGTCTAGCCGAGATTCTAAGAGTATTCAGAATTTATACCAAAAAAGTAATACAAATTTTTTTCTTCTAAAAATGCGCTGAAAGTTTAATGAAAAGTTTGCGTTCATACATCTATATGTTTTTCAAATGTAATTCAAAGTATGCTTTGACCGACTTTTTATTTTTCAGGAATAAGTTTATCTCTTTACGGTGAATATTTTTTATACACCTACGCGCATACCTATTTAGATGTATCTATTTTCAAACGTTTTGTTTTTATTGTCAATTTATTCATACAGAGAAATGTGGACATTTTTACTAAATTAAGAAAATGAAGAAAACTATATAAGCAAAATAATACATCCCCCCAATTTTTTGAGTTGAAGAAGAAATCAAAAGAATTGGAGAATTATCAGAGAAACCCAAGGCCATCTCATGCTCTTCACACTTTTCATTGGAGCCCCCACACTTTTCATTGGAGCCCCCACACTTTTCATTGGAGCCCCCACACTTTTCATTGGAGCCCCCACACTTTTCATTGAAGACCCCACTTTTTACATTTAAGAACCCAAGCATAAGAGCACCCGGATTTGTAATATAGGCCCTCAAATTTTTATATCCGGATCCTCAGAGTTTCCTTGGAAACACGTGAATTTTTGTCTCAACCCCCTGATTTCATCAAAGATTTCATAATTATGTCCACAATCGTATTTATTTATTTACGCATACATTCTGTAGTTAAATTTTGAAAGTTATTTAACCGGGAGAAACAGTTGATTTTCTGGTTAAATGAAAATCTTAAATTCCATTCAAGAATTTCCTAAATCATATCAACCACTTTATGTTAAAAGGGGTTAAGTTACAAAAATTAAAAATTAAAAAATTGTTTTGAAAATAAAAAAAAAATATAATATATGCTTTTAGACAGGGTTCTTTCAGTGGTATTCTTGATATGTTCCACAATTTCCATCTTTTTCCATGCTTGTTGAGACTCCATGAATCATTATTGTATGAAGTGCAATATATTCTGAAATTAGATAGTTTTAAGGTCAAATTAAATCATGAACGGCCCCAACTCTAAGAAATTTCAAATTTTCATCTAACAAAATTTGTAGGAGCACTGGTATCAATTTCACCTTAACAGAATCATTCGTCAAATTTTGTTGAATGATTCTGCTAAGGGGAATTTGATTCCAGTGCTTAAACAAATTTTGCTAGATGAAAACTTGACCCCTCCCCGTTTACACTTGGTTTTCCTCACCTTCCACACTTGGTTTTCCTCACCTTCCACACTTGGTTTTCCTAAATTTAAATATGCACAAACGATCGTTTTGTTTTTAATTATATGTTTTTTATTGTTGTATAACGTGCAAGGTCGTTCTAGAAAATGTTTAAAATCTCTAAATACAAACTTACATAAAAATAGGCCCTTGTATCAATCATTAAAAATATTGGGTAAAAAAATAAATATATTTTAGTTTGTTTAACTCATTTGAATTGTTGAAACAAATGAATGTACTCAAGCAAAATTAGCATACAATCAAACTCAAGCGCATAGAATAGAATGTAGAACAAAATGAAACACCTTGAAAATTATAAATTAATTCGTTGATGTGCATTAAAGGAGGGCTAGAACAAGGGCTAAATATTATTTCTTTTATGCCATATCCTTTTTTTATTTTTCAAAAGCAAAACAAGTATCATTGATTATTTGAATTTTTGAAAAGAAAAATATCAACTGCCTGATTTGCATAATTTAACTGCTTGATTTTGACCTGAGGTATCAGGCCTAACGTTAGTCACTAGTGCTTTGAAGCTCAAGCATGGTGAATGTATTGGTAGTTTCAGCTCTTTTCCTAGTTGGGCTCGCTCAGGTTGGACTTCACAGAAATTAAAACTTAAGAGAAAAAAATTTAAACTCGCCGAAAATCAAATGTTTTAATCCTTATATCTTTGCAAATTGACAAATAGCTTAGACTTCTTGACCTATTAGAATTTATTCTCAGTTAAAATATCAAAGAACTACGACATTAAATTGCAATTATATAAGGATTGAAAATTTGAGCAAGAGGAAGGTAGGGGTTAATTACTAATCAGTTCCATTAAGAAATAATATTTAAATAAATATATAATTTTTTTTTTATTTCTAGGGAGTGCACCTGGGTCGAGAAAAATCAGAGTTTATACCGGTCAGTAATCTATATAAATAAAGTTGTGATTTCTGTCTGTCTGGTTGTTTGTCCGCTCATGACTCGGGAACCCCTGGACCGATTTGCCTCAAATTTTGATTAGGAAACTCGGTAGACACACTGTTCTTAGTTTGGTTTAAACATTCTAAATTGTTTTGGTTGACTTCATGATAGTGAATGATTTCATAACAATGAAATTATTTTCTGAACAGAAGTAAGTTGATTTATATTCATTTGAATAAACGTATAAAATCTGAAGCAATTATTTGAGATTTATTTTTTTTATCTTAATACATATTTTAATTTTGAGTTCTAAACTAGAAAAAATCATTCATATTTTTATAACCTTAAAAATTTCCGATAGTAAAATAATAAAAGTAAGCTTGAAAATACAAAATAAACTAAATATCGAGCTTATTAAAATCTTTAATAAAGAACATGTTTAAACCCAAACAAATTGTCTTATTTCAACCAAAAATTCATATTTTTTTTAAGTTCAGTGTTACTGTTATTCCAACAAACATATTCTGTAAGATTTTCTTTAAAATTATATTAAAGTTTAAATGAATATCAGTAATATTTTGTGTGTTAACTTTCTTTCAGTTTTACGATTTTTTCTTTCCCAAAATTTTTAATCTTAAATTTTCCATAACTTTTCGTGTTTAGCTTAGAAGTAGAGCGGGAGTGACATATTATGGAATTGATACTGAAACATCTCAAGTAATTTTAGAAGATATCAAGAACAATTCGAACTCTTTTAGTAAGTATTTAACCTTTTTTAACCATATATCGATGTTGAATGATTCTGC